CCAGTGCTAGTACAGCAACAGGCCAGGACTCGACCACAAGACACAGTGCATAAGAATAGAGGAAACTGCAACGAGCTTATTGGCCCATACTAAGCAGCCCTGTTTACACCCAACCCCTATCGCTAATATATCTGTCCAACCTGAATTTGAAGCTACCCAGCATGCTTGAGTTAATGATGAAGTTTGGTAACTTGTTCCACTCATCCACTACTCTATTTCCAAACCAGTGTTTGCCTATCTTGCGGCTAAATCTAAATTTGTCTAATTTAAAATCATTTCTACAAGTTCAGTCCTGGTTGAATAGTTTGAGTACTTTGTTATACGTATCACCTTTGTTTAACCCTGACTTCCATTTATACACCTCAAACATATTGCACCTCACTCTATGTCTCTTGAGGGCGTGCAAATGTGCAAATTAAAATGTTTTAACCTGTAGCTGTACTCAAGGTTCCTAATGCCTGGGATTCGTCTTGTCATCCTCCTCTGAATGCTTTCTAGGATTCAATATCCGTTCTGTAGTACAGTGACCAAAACTGAACCACGTAATACAAGTTGGAGATAAGCATGTTATAATAATTTTTCTAAGGTTTATGATTCATTGATAATAATACTACCATAGGTTCAAATGACTGGAGTGAAAGGTAATTATTTCCATACAAAGCAGAGTACTTATGCATTAACAGAGTATGTAATCCCTTAAAGCTTGCTGGGGTTAGGTAAAATGAACCCCGTGAGTAAGCAAAATCCGAAAGTTTTTCATGCCAGTACCCGGAGTGTGCAAAATACAAATATAAATAGCTATATGTACATGTATAACAACATTATGCATGCATAAGACAATATAATAAATATGAAATAACAAATAAATAAACACAAACATGAAATAAAACTGTATAGACATTAGGTTCACACAGTGATAGTTAGTAATGGTAGTAACAATGTAAATTCAATACCTCTGAAATGTCAGGTGTTCTGGTGGTGGAGGTATGTAAACAATCCCTGTACTGGACAGTTTCTAGTGAACATGCCCGGCACCAATAAATATTTGTATTGTAGATACCTATACATATACATTATATCCTTTTGTATTAAATTGGGTAAATTTATTAATAATACCAACAAATGTTTAATAATAGGTCCATAAAGTGATAGTGAGCTGTGGTAGTGAGAAACATGACTTGGCTTTGCCAGTACAGTAGGCTATTAAATCTGCAAAAATTCTTTGTCCCAAATATACCTTGTTAATTATAGGGAGTGTCTTATGACCTGGGATATATGGTGCTCTGTACTGTCCTGTAGTGTTGACTCCTCTTGATCCCTGGCACACAGCCTCAGATTTATTTTATTTGTTTTCCGTGAAAATCCGTGAGTTTCTGAGGGACGCAAGCTTTAAAACTGCGAGCTTTAAGGGAATACTGTATTACACTTATCTATGATGCAGCACTGTACACAAACATACTGTAATTCTCACATTATACAGGGTTCTACTGAATTCACATATTAAAAAAAATTCTTACAACTATAGTAAATATAGTAAACAAAATGTACACTAATACCTCCCAATATACTGTAGGTACCTGTTAAATCATAAAACATTTACTGTTACAAGAACAGGGTTAAAAATAAAATCACGTCCACTACTGATAAAAAAAACACTATGATCATACTGTACATACAGTACTACAGCAATAAGTTATTTCTACACACCTTTAATGCTGTGAAGTCCTTAGATGCTCTTTGTTTCATTTCTTCTTCTATGTTGGCATTAATAGCCTTCTGTAACTGTTTTTGTACAAACAAACTTTCTTGTGCTTTAGCCTTCTTGGGTGCAATCGTTCGTTCTGAAAAGTAAAAAAATTATTTACCTACTGTACACACTCACAACCTAAGGAGTACATCTAGAAGACAACAACAGCATCAGTCACCCAGTCACCAAGCATCTACTGTATCACTAAGCTAGCTAGGGCAGTGTCACATCACCTCATGTACAGATGAGTTGCCCAATAACACAAGTTAGGAATTGCCAGGGCCAGTGTTACAGATACTGTACAGACATGTTAAGGTGTGACATAGGTTTACATGTTAATGTACCACTGGGTCTGAGTGTCAGAAAACACTTATTAAAATTTTTAAAATACGCACTAAAAAGGGCTAAATGGTTTTATTCTACCCCAAAAGTATACAGTATACACTACAGGGAAGTTAAAACAAGGCTTAAGTGAAAAGATCCAGGACTGACTTGAAGAGAAGCGGTCATGAGCATCAGTGGTCCTTGTCCGGACTACTGGAGCCGCCTGCCATCTCGCAAATGAACTACCAGGCTCCCATGGTCTGCTTAAATCATATATAGCAGCTTTCAACCGAGTTAAAGTGTAATTAGCCATCATTATATAGAAATGAAGGTGGTAATTAGCTATGGGTACCACGTTATTCTGTGGTGCATTATGCTGTGATGCGTTATTGGGCAACTCATCTGTACCACATGTTCTGACAACTATGCTATGTTTCTACCTCCAACATGAATGAAAATGACAAAAAGTTTCAACTGAAGAAGCTTTGGAGGAAATCTGCCTGCCATATGCAATAACTGTTCACTACCTTGACCACCATGTACCACCACTGCACAGTAATTTTGTGTAAAAACTTGCACTTGTGCTGCAGGCTTTGTGTCGTGTGAGTGGAATCATATTTGTAAACATAACCCCATATTTCCCATAAGAACTTAATTTCAGACGTGCACAGTATCACACCTAAAAGTCCTACAAGTAATTTTGAACAATACCTCCAACAGATAAGAACATCAGTAACGTTTGTACGACAATACCAAATAAAGCACAAAAATGGCAACAGATATCAGGGTTGGCTGATTTAAACCCATGTTTTAAACCATAGTTTAAACTAAACAAAAAAGATTGGTAAATTTTCACTTATTGCCACTATACAAAATCAAAGTTGAAACTATGCTTTTTGATAGATTTTGGTGTGTTATGAACGAATTTGACCTTCCTTTATGACATAAATAAATAGTTTCCGAGATAAGCACCCCCATCCCCCCTCTCAGAATCTAGAGATTTGCTAAAAAAATCAAGGTAAAAAGTATTAAAAAGACATCAAAAACCATTGCAAAATCAGTTTTAAATCTAACCTAATCTAACCAAGGGGCTCCACAGCCATTCGGTATTCTGGCATGGGTGTGTACCGCCACATATGCACATACATAATAAAATGTTAAATATCTTGCTTATACTGTACGTAATTAGCACCAGAAATGCCACTGAAGATAAGTGGGTAAATGTTTAGAGGTTGCCAACACCTACTGTACTGTACTGTATTGCACCTTATATAAGGAGGGGGTAAAAAATAACTAAAAATATTTTATTTTATAGTGTTTCTGTCGGAAAAGTATATTTTTAGAGTACACGGAGTATTTTAACATAAAATTACCAACAATATTACTTGTGTAAAGAGGGCTGGGCTTTCAAGTAGAGGGAAAATGTGGGGTAAAATGACACCCCCCCCCAAAAAAAAATGCTAAACAAGCTTTTTAAAACCTAATGTTGTTGGTAATTTTGTTAAAATACCAGAAAATTATAACTTTCCGACGGAAATGTCATAGAAGTGTTTTAAAATTGTCTAAATTACATGATAGGTATATTAAAAAAGCCAAAAGTTATGGGGTAATTAAAATCAATATTACCGATAATAATCCCTACGTTCTAATGCAGCAAAGGTGCTGGACAACTCTCAACCAAACAAATCGTACCCGTCAGCACACGTCAACTCGTACCCAATCATGTAGATCCACAATGGAAACGTGGACAAAATAAATCTCGATACAATCACACAGGAACAGGGAAACAATGGAGCACTACAAGGAAGAGCAAGAATATTGGGTGACACATAATCAAGTCATTACATTACTCATACTGGTCTTGTTTCTGTGTGGTCGTGATTTTTTAAACAAATCTATTCAGAGTATCATTAACATACAATAACATAACTAATTGTATATGTATTGGCCAACATTCTCACTGTCTTGGGTTACGAGATGACCCTAACCTGTAACACAAGATTCAGATAAGATGACAAAATAATATTATACATCACTAATCCTTACTCCCTTTCCTCATCTTCAACGTGTTTTGCCTCTTTCCCTTCTTTAGACTTGAAGGAACTTGAGGAGCCTTCTTATTCTTGGAGCTTCCTTGCGGCATAGTGCTATATTAACTCTCACAATCAGCCTGTAAACTTATTATAATACTGTATTTTACATTGACATATTTTTAGGTTTAGAAAACTTATTTTGTTACCATTATATCTGATTAAAACTTTCGATGACATTTAAGCAGAGTTTTATATGAAATTTATTCTATATTGATGTTAGTTTTAAATATATATATAGCCCACAAAACAAAATATAAGAGTCATTGAAAATCCTAAAGGTATAGCGTTCGTATATTATAATGACGTCAGACACCCTTGATGATGCAAATTTTAGAAGGAAATTATAATGAAAATAAAGTGACTAACATGTTGCCCAAATTTTTTAACGTCCATTTCATCATTGTTCAGCTTACTAGTACCTTAGGCGTTGAGTCTTTTATTATCTTACAACTTTGTAATACCCAGAAAGAGGAACTAAAACAGCCATCAAGTATTGCTATTAGGCTTCATTGTCCTCGCATCATTCTTAAAGAGCTATATTTCTTTATTAAATATTCCTCCATAAATATTTTCGCCCAGGAGAGGTGGTTGTTAGCATAGTTAGTCATGATGCAACACTACATAACAGCTGATCAAAGAAACACAAGTTGGTTAATGTTAGAAAATTTACCACGCAAAGAACTATTCACTTAGTTCTTTTTAAACGATGATATAATAACCAAACATATTATGGAAAATTCAGGGAAGGTTTAGCTTATAGTTTTAGAGTAGTTCTTGTTGCCTGAGTCTCAATAAATATAATAGGTAGGCGATTCTGTTCGTGGTGTTATCTAACATTGATTGTTTAGGTAATACCCTTGGCAGCAGGTGACCTAAAACCAAGGCCAAATGTCGTTAGTGAGAAGCAGGAATTAACCAAGAGGAATTAACCAAGATGGGAGAGTAACAAGCAAATAGTTGATAATCAGGCATATGTGTCAGTGGTGTTGATAATGTTGCCTATGACCAAAAATTTTCACGGGAAAAAAATCGAGAGCAGCATCAACACCTTGGGTAGGAAGTACAGTAATATTTATAGAGCATTAGTGAGAGGTAATATTCACTATAAACATAAATTTCTGGTAGCGTCGGCCACCTGTGTAATTTACCAACAGGTGCTCAATATATCTCGAGGAGGAGGAGGTCGTCGAGGTGAGGAGGGAAAGAAAAGTTACTACGATATCCTCCAACTTACTCCTAAAGCTACTCAAGCCCAGGTAGGTGAAGGGTGAGGGAAGAGACACAGGTAAAGATTCATTAGTGACCATAATGGGAGTTGAAAAACCTAAATTGGATTTTCTTATGCTTTTCGCGGTAATTTAAAATAGGCAGTGCATATTTTCCCGTGACCGGCTACAGTAAGTTCCTTCTTATGCTATTTTACCGTGAGTGCAATCTGACTGGCTAATCGTCCATCACTGGCGAACAACACGAAAATTATATATATGACTGTGACCGGTGGCATTTGGCATTTATTTCGCCATGAGTCGATCGTTGTGTAGCTGTAAGCGTACTTTACCATATTTCTATTGTGCATGGAAACTTATTATAAAAGAGGCGATATTTACTAGAACCTAATAGACCCTGACCTAACGAACCAAAGAAACCTACCTAACTTCCTAGTTGGGGCCAATCAGAGTGCACTCACGGTAAAATATTCATTACATTTAAAATTTGACCTTTTATTATTGTCGCTGATGTATGTTTATGGAAGTGCGACAATGATTTACATTAACTGGGTTGGGCCTTGAAAGTGAAGGGAAATGTGGGGTTACAACACGCACACCAAAAAAACACCCATCAAATCTGTGAAAACCTGACCTAACCTACTAAAAGTCGTGAGACAAGATATAACCAATGGAGGAGCATTAATTGATTCTCTTCTTGTGTTTGCAAGTTTTTGGTGTTTTCGTAACGGGGAAGCCATTACTCAGTCAAGTGTCCATGCCTTAGAGCTGGCAGATGCCTGCCCCACAAGGGCAGAGAGTGTTGTGACGGCACCGAGTGTGAGCTGTTTTAAGACCAGACTTGACCAACACTGGAGCAGGTTCAGATACATTCAGGAGCTACTGCATGCCCAGTACCTGCCAACAGTGCATAACAGAGATGTGACCAACCGCCCAAGTGGCTAACTAGCCGATCAGTGGCGAAAAGGAACAAAGTAATATCAGCTTCCTCTCCACAGCTTAACGTTTTCCCAAGTTCTTCACAATCCTCTGTCACTGCCTCATTGACAATATTTGGAAAGTTCTGCAACATGACACATCAGAATTGAAATACAAATCCTATTAAACAACAAATACTGTACAGTATATTTTATTCAGGAGGGGGCCCCCTGCAGCCGCACATAGCTGGGGTCTGCCCTATCACCAGCCATTCCATGAGGATTATCTCTCATTCGCTGCTGTTTTTGTATACAATTTGTGTTGTGTAGTACTGTACATTACTGTACCAGGACATAAACAACCTAGAACACAGTATTAATGTTGTGTTAAGACATGAACAGTGATTGCAGTGTGTAATTTTACTGTAAATTGACATTGTTTGTGTGAACACCCAACTTACGCTATCGTGCATAGCAGTGGACAGTGTTTGCATACCGTACATGCTGGCCTGCCTGCATCACAAGCTCAAAGCGACAGCATCTTTTGATGAGTGCTCTATACATTTTATTTTGTTTATTTATATTGTTATAATGTTTTTTGTTTACAATATTTACCATTTATTGTACTGTACTGTACATGTACACTGGTGTATGTATAAATAAATACAGGTCTGTGTCTGTCCGTGCGAGATGAGTACAGTAGTTTAGAGTCTTGGAAAACATTTCCCAGCACTGATTTGTACAGTAGTTTAGAATCTCGTGTAAAAGTTCCCCAGAACCCAGAAACATTCCTGGGATGTACGATAGTGTCTGTCCATGTAAGATACGTAGTTTAGACACCTGGAAACTTTAACTGGAAAAATTCAGGGATAAGGGATTTTTCCGGGTTTGAGAAAGTTGTCTGGTTACCTGGAAATCTCTCATTCCTGGAAGTGCTCTGCACCAATTGTTCCAGCAAATGGGGATATCACTGTACTACAATATTGTACATACTGTACTGTAGTACAGTTACTGTATGTAATACAAGAATCAACACATTGCTCACTGCATGATATGGATCATCTGCAGACAAGAAATATACCTGTACATAGTTTCAAAAGAGGCCCTTCTTTCTCAAGGGTTCCAGGATAATACTGAAGGACTGTCAAGTCTGGAAATTAAAACCTCCCATCTTTAATACAGTATGTGGAAAATAAAAGGTCGACTTTCCTAGGGTTGAATGTTTGTTAAATCCTTGTAAATTTTGTAACACTGCCTCCTCCCAGTTGGCTTATTATTAAGAGCCACCTGCTTTTAGGGTGTAGTATGTAAGGGATGAAGGTTTGATCCTGAAATCTTATTTTTTTGCAGAACTCATAGTTACATAGCTTGGATAACTTCCCTCCACCCTTGGGTTTGTGGATTACGGTACTCATCTGGATCTGAATGTGTTGAATAGATGTTGCACTAATCCTCCCAGTTCTGTATCTTAGTGGGGAATACAGGTAAATTGATACCAGGTTTACATAGTGGGGAGGTCTGATGATCAAAAAGTCCCCCTCGTCTCGTAAGAGCATGTAAGTACTATAAGCCTTATGGCTACACTAGAAAAAAAGTATTTCAGGGTCATTCCTTCATTTAGTGATATTGTTTAAAATGACCTTCCACTTTTTCCTGGCAAGCAAGGTAATTTCAATACTATTGCTAGAAAATAAATAAAATTCTTTCTTTTTCAGGTGAAGGATGCTTATTACAACTTATCAAAAACCTACCACCCTGACCAGTATAAAGGAACAGAGGATGCTTCTGTCAAGTTTCGTGAGATAACAGAAGCCTATCAAGTTATAGGAAATTTTCAGAAGAGGAAAATGTATGACAAGGGTTTTCTCAATGTATCGACAGCAGCCACCCCTGCTGAAGCCGAGAATTATGCAAACAAGTTTCATGAGTCACGAAGAAAGAGAAGCCAAGTTCCAACTGCAACTGGAAGGACTCCTGTTTATGATTTTGATGAATGGTCAAAGCTCCACTATGCATCTAATCGTGAGAGGAGAGAAGGCGCAAAAATGCGTTTCGAGGAAATTCAAAGAACAGAAGTACGAGATGTCGAGCAAAAGAAAGCCGATTCTATCATCTTTATAATATTATTGGGTGTAATATTCTACTTAATCTCTCTTTCTAGAGGCCCAAATATAGATGTACCTAAACAGAAAGATAAATAGAATATTTTTTATGTGTACAGTAATAAAGAACTGTGTATTTATAAATATGTATGTATACATTGTGTGCAATTTGCTTATTGTATAGTAGATATAAATTGGAACAAGCATGTGATGGAATGGGTATTAACCTTGAAATTCAAAAACCTTTAGATAATTTTGCTTATTCAGTACAGTATTGTATACTTATGAACTCTCCCATTAATTTTTTTACTACCGTACTCTATCTCGTGTTATTGAAAACTCCAGAGTTTTGTCATTTTTAAATAAGATTTGAAAATTTAATGATTGATTATGATACTGTATAGTAGAGTTGTGATATAGTATGTATTTTTCAATATACAGTATGTTCTGTAGTTGTATACAGTACCAGCACCATAATCTCAGTTTTATTCAGGGCTTTTAGAAAAAATTCAAGACTATACTGACTTAAACTTTGATTACCCAGAATAACAATTAGAAATCATGGTTTGTGTAGTCAGTAGAGCCATGTGAGGGATGGCAAAGATGAAAATTGTTGCCATAGAACTTTATACTGATACAAGATAAATTTTGTTATTTTAATTTAGGTAATAAAACATAAACTACGATAGGCTATCAGTAACATAGATATGAAGAATGAGGCTGAGCATAAGTATAAATGAAATTAATGTAAAATTCTTAACAAAATATATAAATACAGTATCTTACAGTACAATACAGTACTGTATATACTGTATGTTGTTGATAATGCCGTAATGAACAAGGTAAGATCACACAAGTGAAAAAAGCAGGATGTTTAGTTAAAAAAGGTTTTTTATGAATTTAAAAGAAAAACTACCTAGTAATGAGTTAGAGCAAAAATTAAAATAAGGTACAGTAAATAAGTCAAATGAGAGGGCATATTAGCAGACTAATTTGGTTATATTTTAAGAATATACTGTACTGTAACATACATGATGTTTTTGTCTTAAAAAGAAGCATATTAAGAAGTTAATATACTGTATTAGTTGGTTGATCTTTTAGATGGTTGTACTTGTCATTAAAAAGGGTTTCTTCACTTACTTAAAGTGCTCAGTGTTACTACATTAACTTGAAAAATTTAATGAGGTTGATTAAAAAATATTGGGCTTATGATTTTCACAGGACTTTTTGTGGAGTGAAATCTTATCTGACAAAGATTCTTAGTGAATTGTTTAAAGTATAATTGCTGCCAGAAAAAGACTTGAAAAGTTATACTGTATTGCACTGTATTACCATATAATAAAAATGAAATTAGTCAATTGACAAGAAGCTGGTAAGCAGCAGTCAACCATTAGAGCATTATCATGTGAGAGTATTTTCTGTGATGAGTTTCATCTTTGACTACATTCTCTTTGCTGTATAGGGGGAGGTCCATCACTCTCTGAACACATTCGTATTCTTCCTTTCTCCTGGTTTAAAATACTTTCCACCTGCAGGGGATATTAATTTCACATTGTATATGAGTGTGAGATAAAATATTTACATGAAGAGAAAAAATTTACAACTCATTTATAATGCACTGGCCTCTGTTGTATGGGTTAAGGAATACCTGTACATCCTCCACATCTTACATGAAGTAAAGATAAAAGTGTTGTTTTGATCCATCTCGGAGACAATTTCAACTGAACTACTATACTGTACTGTATTAATGCATTTAACAATGGACATGTATAGTTTACAGGTAATCAAGTGAATAAGAATCAGCGTGTTGTGTCATACACCTGTTCCATTACAAGTAATATAAAATTTTCGGTATTTTAATGTTTTATTTAAGTGGTCAGGGTCATGTACAGTATCTCAAATTATCTGTCCACATTGTGAGACCACAGATGATAGATATTGGGACATGCATTTACCTATGGTTTTACATAAGTAATGCAACGTATTTATTTCGGCGTAATTACTATGATGATTGGTTACCAAATGTGGTAGGATCAATGTACCACAGAGCCACACATACCAACCCTCCTGGGACATCAAGAGATGCATGTAGCATTTCAGAAGGCGTGAGATCCATCCTGGCAGATACTGTACTCTACAAACTTAAACTTTTTATGGTATAGTATACAGTATTACTTATATCAATAAAATATCCTGTTGGATAGATTGTTGAATTGTTGTCTAGGCCTTTTGAAAATTTATATTGTTACTGATAGCATTCTATTATCTGAGGGAAGAAAACTCTCAGCATGCTCTTCCAGTGTGTGTGTTTGTTTTAATTGAAATTATTGCAGTGGGGATGTTAACAGATCTTACAAAAATATCTGTAGTGGGGTCCTCACACCCTTATTATAATACCCATTCCTTTACATGTACTGTAGGGTAAGTTGTACAGAATGTTACCTCTGGAAATATTAAAGTTAATATTTATTTAAAGGATTTTGTTGCTTTTATTACATACCTTAGTGCATGGCATTGTTCTGGTTATACAGTATGATGCAAAACAAAATTATAATGGTGTTGGTGGAAGACGCCCTTTATTATTACCTATTCAGAACCACATACCACTGTATCAGGTAATGGAAGAGAGTTAGAGACTTCCCCTTTAAGACCACACAGCTGCAAAATGGTAATTCTTTAGAGTAAATGATGGTGATTGGTGGGAGTCTTGAGTGGCTCCTGACTTTGGCCATCCTGCTTAAGTACAGTACAGTATTGAGTGAGAACAAGATTGTAAATGTGAAGAAAAAAATAAATTAAATATATTAATTATCATTTACCGGGTAGTTTTAGCATGATGGTACTTAGCAAATCAGCTAACTTAGGTGTGGTATACAAGAATGTTCGGAAGAAATATGGTTCTGCTTCTGTGTTTTCATCACTCGCTACCATTCATATCACTCTGCTCTGCCACACGTAATTATACTGCAATTTATCCCTCAGATATTGTTTTTATAAGATGATACGAGTATATATATATATATATATATATACAGTATATATATATATATATATATATATATATATATATATATATATATATATATATATATATATATATATATATATATATATATATATATATATATATATATATATATATGGGTCCTGAGACAAATATACTGTAGATAAATGACTAATGATTAATAACTTATTCCCAAAATACCAGTAACAATTCAGATTACCTAATAGTAACCCGAACCGAATCACGTATATATGGTAAAAAAAAAAAAAACGGCTTGGGGGACACCTTCGGGATAATAAGCAACCCGAATGTTAAAAAAATTGGCCATTATGCTAAACAAAATCGTCTACCGTTAGCTAAATAAAATATTAAGTGGCGTCCCTGTAGTGAAGAGGTTAGGGGAAAAAATTTATAAGGGACGTTAGACGTTATCAATGTGAACGCGCCCTGTGTTATAGTTCAGCTGGTGTTAATTAACGTCGAGTGAGCATGTGTATCCACCTGTCGTCCCCTGAATATTAAATCCTAGACTCCTCTTTCTTTCTCCAATTACCTTTAAATTTGATTTGGTGATTCATAACTAGAGCTGCATTCTTCCCCTGATCCTGCAACCTGATAGCCGACCACTTCCAAGATGGCCGACCACTTCCAAGATAGCCGACCACTTCCAAGATGGCCGACCACTTCCAAGATGACCGACCACCAATTTCCGAAGACCAATTCAGCTGGTGAACTTAAGTAGGAGTTGTCCGCCATAGTTTTAAAGGGACGAGGAGTTACTGAACAGACAGAATATCATATCTGTTTATCTTAGATTCGTTATTTATTAATGTCAAACAATACACAATATTTTATATTGGTTATGTTTTATACTAATGTCTGATTACTCTAGATTCCATATTTATACCCCAAAATTTGCCCAATTACCCTAAAAAACACTACCCTAAACTACCCCAGCAAAGGCTTGATTACCCTAAAATAAGGTAATTACTCTTAAAGTACTGTACAGTATTCGTTTTTTATTTTGTCCGTAATTATTATTATTTTTTATATATTACTATATAACATTATTACCCTAAATTTTTATTACAATTTGTTTGTACAATCAAGGTTGGATTTTTCTTAATATTTTTAAATTCGGACAAAGTTGTTGGCGGGAGGGAAGGGTATAAGGTGTTTCGCCCCGGGAGGCAGTGCCATTAAATACATTCAAGAGGAAATAGTCGGTCGTCGCTCCGACTTATTCAAGTGGTGAAATCTATACTTGGTCAAATATATTGATAAGGTATGATACACCATTAAGATTATTGATAGATTAGATCAGTGTAATTTAACATGCTGAAGACCGCATTTCCGGTGTTATGAAATTTCTACCTCAATTTTTGTACCCCGTTGGTTTACTCATGAACACAGACGCCACCAGACTAAACTCTCTGCTCAACACATCGACTTACAAGTGGCGGTAGGTAGTGTTAGTTACTGCTGGTTGATTATAAGTATATGTAGCTTAAATTAAGAAGGATATTTCTAGGCTGTCACTTGCATTTTGTTCCGTTTTATTGTTATTGTTGGGAAAAGGGCCGTTTTTTTTATATTCGCCACTTATCAGCTTACTAGGCGTTTGGGCGGTTTATCCAGCGTTAGTACAGGAAGAAACCTGTGGTTGGTAGTGAGGGTCACACTGGATAACACCTTTCTCACGTGTGTCCGGGCTGAGGCTCGAACCATTGACATATAGGTAAGAGTTATGCGTGTTACCGCTGTACCAACACCTGTTTTTATTTTAACCTCTTCGCCACTGATCGGCTTGTTAGCCGCTTGGGCGGTCGGTCACGTCTCTGTTACGCACTGTTGGCAAGTACTGTGTATGGGGCGAGGTCATTCAAGAACGTACTTCGGACAATACTACTCTGTGATGGGTCGGCATCGCGATGTACAGCCTGTACAGGGCAGGGCAGGGCAGGGGCCCAGGGCTACTATTTCCAAAACGGCTGGATGGTCCCACTGTTACCACAGCCTAGGCTTCGAACACCCCATTAATATTTCCATCAAACAAAAAATGTAACCCAAACTTAAAAAAATCCCACGATAAAATTAATATAAAAGTAATGAGAGGATAACAATGGGACATATAAATTATTATTCTCTGGTATTTGTGAGGTTTATTTTGAAGGTTATATTTCATTGGGTGTTGGCCACAATGGGATGGCCGACGGATGGTGTACAGCGAGTTGCGTTACTTGGGTATCTTAAACAGCGCAGTGCTGTTGTTAGCCCTATTCAAGAGAAGGTCACAGTTATAAAACAATAGGCACATTTTCATCCATCCTGAAATATGGCCTTGCCTTTAAGCCAAATGGTTACTTACGGCAGCGGCACACTGGACACTCCAAACATGTTCCCCGTATTGCTGGCTGTTGGCCTGACGGCCCAGTAGTAGCAGGATTTCGGCTGTTGCGAGAATGGACAACGGTTTCACGGTGAACTACTGAGCATTGCTGGTCGGGTTAGTGCGCTCAACTGAGCTTCATATTAGGTGTTAAGTATTTCAGTAAAATTTGAAATAATTTACGAAACTAATAATTTAAAATATATCACAAAACGGTGACATGTTTCTATTTATTTGTCACTATAAAATAATTATTCAGGGTCTTCTTTGACCAGCCAACCGCTACCCCCTCATCACTTAGAGGACCCCCCCCCTCCCTGAATAGTACAATATAATTATTTGCTTAGCAGGAATCGTATTTCAATTCGGATGTGTCGTCTCAAACGTACAGTATAGGCGAGTGCGTTTCAGACTTCTGGCGCCAGTAAGTTTGGGGACTTTGGCAATTTCTGTTTATAATAACCTGGCAATTGATACTGATTTACATTCCTAATTTATATTTTGTCAAGAAGATGTTCTCAGAAAACCAAGAATATACTGTATGTGGGTGAGGGACTGTACTCGCTGGTAGGGTTATCTAAGGAATTGTGCATCTATATGCCACAGGGCCCCTCAGAAACTAGTCCCACTCCGGACCCTGCAGACGGCTTACATCAGTTGTTCGATTTTGTTCATTTTCCACATGTTCTTTGGATGATGGTAAGTAATAAATTGATACAACCTTTAATATATATTTTTGTAGTTTTTCTCTATGATCATAAATCACCTGTAGTGGACAGGGTATGAAAGATACTGGAATTGCTGGGAAGAACTGTTCATATGACACTCAAATGAATTCTCTATGCAACAAACTTTAATTACGCCAACAATTATGGCCTGTCGGCGCGTGTTCTCGTCCTGTTGTAAACATTACAGTCTTGCTTAAATTGTCAGCAAAGAAAGGAGTGACATGCTAGAGATTGTACTGCCTTTATTATAGAATTTAATGCCCTTTTGGGGGGGGGGGTGCAGTTTAGGATAGTAGCCAGGTATCGAATTCCGTTATTTTATTGTTTGCAATCACAATACATAACAAAAATAAGACATTTCTATGACACTTTCTGTGCTGACTAGAAATAACGGAGATATTTAGAGTTAAAAAATAAACACAACATGCCCTTAAAAACCTCATTTCTCGGTAATAGGTAAACAATGAACTGAGGATAATATTGAATTATGAGAAAGTTAAGTTAGATTAGGGCAGTTAACACCAGAAACATGGTCAGATTCATTTCTGGTGTAAATCGCACTAGCCTAACCTCATAATGCAATATTCTCCTCAGTTCATTGTTTTGTTTTTTTACTATATATCTCCTTTATTTCTCGTCAATGCAGAAAGTGTCATAGAAGAAATTTATCATATTTTTGTTAGGTAATGTGGTTGCAAACAATAAAACAGGTTAGTTTGCAGTAGTGCACCGTTCTTTCAGTCTTTATCAGTGTACCTTCTATCTCTCGGTGTTAGAAATATGTTTTTCCGAATGTTTAGACAATTATAAGACATTTTCTTCTATGATATTTCTAATACTGAAAGAAATATAACCTAACTTAACCTACCCCATTTTCTGTGTAAAAAACATAGAAAATCACCAAAAAACAACCAAACCCAATCTAACCTTAATTTCTGACAAAAATATCACTGAAGAAAAATGTCTTAGAATTGTCTAAACATTTGGAAAAACATATTTCTAACACCGAGAGATAGAACGGTTACCCAATTCAAAACCTGGCTACTAACCTAAATTGATTTTTTTTAGCTTTCAGCATCGAATCACATGTTTATAACCTGTGCAATCCCATATATTTTTTTTATTTCCACACAATAGGTGCTTAAATATATTTAATTTATAAATAATGAGGATCATATTGTTGGAATCAAAATCAACATATGGGTTTTGAGTCATTTCCAATACCTTATGAGTAGTGTTGGTTATTAATTGAATTGTATGTTCATGTACTTATTGTTCTTCCTCAAGGAGGAGTGAGGGAGAAGCCATATTGTTTTTCAATGACATCCTTATCACGTCCACAAAAAATATAAAATTACACCATTCCGCTTCAAGATAGTACTTTCTCCACGATAAGGTTAAGTAGGTTTCTTCGGTTAGGTCAGGTTCTAATAGGTTTTATTCGTTGTCGTATCATTTTTATTACCAGGTACTTACTATCATCCAAAGAATATCTGTGGAAAAAATAAACAAAATCGAACAACTCCTTCTGGTGTTAGCTGTCTGCTTCACCATTTTGTGTAAACGTAGCCTAATGTTACAGAAAGATGTGACATGATCCTGAGAGTTATCAAGTACCACGTGACCTGCCAGTGGCGTTAAATGATCTCAAAGGAATATTAGACGATTGAGGTCTTTTTCTTTATCAATACTATTCTTCACTCACACACATATCTGAAACAACAGAGAACATTGTTATCTATGAGGCATTTAATGTTTTTCACTCGGTCACACTATGGCGCTCACAACACATATGAACACAAACACAGTGAGCACTATGGCATGACTGAGTGAAAACTAAACGCCACTGATGGGTCACGTGATGCCTGATAATTCTCAGGTTCATGTTACGTCTTTCTGTAAAATAATAGGTTCCCAACTAATAGTTTTAGTGTATAGGAATTACTATTTAGTGTTCCTGAATAAAAAAAATCACCATATATTATAATTATTAGATTATTTAAAATTATTCAAGTCAAATTTAAGAGCAAGAAAAGTAATATATATATATATATATATATATATGTATATATATATTGGTTTTTGTTTACGTTAGTAGCGGTGGTGGTATGTTGGGTAAAACCTATGATAAATAATTTTATGCATTCATCAACATGGTATGGAAAATGTTTCTTCTTAATGTCTTGTGTCAATAAAAGTACTGTATAAACACTTTTGACTCATAGAGCAGGATGGGTGTCGCTTCAGCCCAAACTCTGAATGTTATCCTGGTAAGATTCCTACTGGAAATTAAATTAAAAGCATTTACTAGTTCTGTCATCTTAGTTTAATAATTCATAATTATATGCAATATACTGTACATTATTATATTCTGGAGTCTTCTGGGAACTAGTTTATCTTGGGTTTAATCCGGTATTGTAATAAAGTAAATAATACAGTAATAAATAAATGTAGCACTGCGAGGGGTGTGGTGACGAGGCAGGAGGCGACGTGACGTGACAAGGCACTTATATAGCACACACTTTAACACCACTACCAAACCATTATCTTTTAACATTTTAATTTATAATTTCTATTTTAAAATTAAGTGATACGTGATTGCTCGGTTTGGCTACTTTTGCACTAAAGACAACTGATCAGTGAATAAACCAGGGCATTATACACTACTATAATAATATTTTTTAAGTTCTGATAGTAGGGTTAGAGTGTAGAGTACAGCAGCAGACCAGTCAGGGGACCCAACATAACCCTGCTCCATTTCCGGAGGTGTGGGATTTGTATACAGTAAGTGGTGGGTGGTTTCTGTCATTTACTCTTTTGAGGAAGATAGTCAGGTTGAAACACATGTTGAGTAAAATTCCCACCGTTTGTTTAGGTTTCCTTATTTACCATACAGCACTCCCATCTGTCTAAATAAATTATACAGGTATCTCCCGATTTATGATAGGTTTACCTGAAAATACTAACATAAATCGTGAACATTTTAACATGGTTTCATTCAATGGGATACGCTCCTGGCCAGTCCAACTGACATGTAACACAGAAAGAATGATGCTACATCAGTTAAATAAATAACACTCGTCACATTAATGATAACATGCCAGGTTGTCATCTCGTGTCCCCTCCAAGGCTAGAGAACACTTGTTGATGGAGCAGTGACATTTTCAAAGTTACACCAAAAGAGCAAAATCACTTCAGTCAGAAAAACAGAGCAAAATCTGAGCGATAATGTTTTCCTTTTACCAATCATGGCAAAGTATCACAGCGATCACAAGGTTGTGCAACAATTAATAACAATAACACTTGTTACATGAACGAGGGCAGATATGATCGCATTGAAACAAAGTCCGGGATTGTACAGTAGTTTAAATAGTGGTTGTGAGGCAGTATGCAGGTAGGTGAAACTGCGCATAGGATGAAAAAGCAGTTTCTGCACTTATCGGCCAATTTGGATTTGACAATTGTAGGAAAGATATGCTTCCCCAGTGTTTACGTTCCGCATCAGCGAGTTTAGCCTAGTGATAACTATCGTTAACATGGATTTTACCGACATAAATCGCGAGAGGATGTTGGTGTTAAAACCTAATTAGCTAATATTAATACGGATGATCGTAAATCGGGATACCTGTATTCACTTATAAACGTAATGAGTCTCACACACACTGCAGTTACAGCCAATTAGATTAGGTTAAAAATACAAGCCTATCAAACGAATCAAATATTTATTGACAAGTTTCTGGGAGAAAAAGAGTATGTGAAAGATGTACAAAAATATATATTACTAAATTCACATCATTCACATTACTGACTGATAACAGTATGGGGAGAAAAAAGCTCCGCATCTGTTGGAGAAATAGATCTATTTCATCTTATTAATGACTAAAAACTGCCAAACTAAAATGTGGCTATTCACAAACTATTGTAACTTCAATCAAAATTCTGCATATTCAATACAGAATAATTTTATATTGATGATTGCAAAAATACCCTTTAAGCAGCAACAGCTTGTCAAACTACCATGTCATACAAAACTGTTTCAATCATAGTCAAGCAGTTATTATACAAGACAAACTGTGAATTAAAGTCTCACAGTATATTGCACTATGTTTCCACTATTCCCCTCCTTATATGAATATGACATCACATGTTAGTTCCAAATGTTGATGACATCACATCTGTTAAAACAGGTAATATGCTATATCCAAATTTTACATAAGTGGTCAACTAAATGAAGCTAGTCATGCACACTGTCATCACTTTTATCAATTACTTAAGCACAAGAAATATGCCTAGGTTTGTGGTATTCTTGACTTACAAATAAGCAATCCACCAAGTTTCACCAAGAACTAAAACTTTATAATGCCCCAAAAGGAATTGTAGCTATATGACTATTAGTGTTGCTTTAAACACTTTGGAATACTAAATAAATTATTTTGGAACCGTAAATAAATAAATAATAAATTATAATTCAATTGCAAAGGACCACCAGTATTCAATTTATCTCAAACTGTAATTTAGTATAATATAATTAATACATGCATAGCATGAAATTATGCAAAGTACAATATTTGTTTATTGTTATGAATAATATCAATTTACTGACACTAAACATCAAACCCTCTATTATATTTCATACCAAAATACATGATTCACCTATACTGTATATACTAATAGTAAAATAATTGCTTTATGAAGATTTCTATCAATTTTCAATTTACTATGACATTCAAACACGCTAGTAAGTTTGGTCATGCATTAAACTTTTTACACAATATTGGCAACTTAAATGAATCCATGAACATTATACAAATAGTAAAACAATAAATGCCATAAAAGACATAATATATATATATATACTGTATATATATACTGTATTTATATATTTTCTAGTTTTCTTTGAAAACGTTATGAAAAGTGATGAAACAACAGACCTAACACATCATAGTAGGGTTGTTGGAAGTCATACCTCAGGCACTTGCTCTATGTAATCAGTATTGGACTTATCAGTGGAGCGCTGAGGTAGCAGGTACATACTTTGCGGTTCAAGTCCGTCTCAGGCTACTGAGGTAGTTAGCTGGCCATCATCTCATTCTGGCTGGTAGGTGAAAAGTTATCATGATGATCCTAGTATAGTGTGATTCACAATACTATTTTTAGGGACTTGAATACAATTGGGGCCCTTATAATGACAACCCCTATGTTCCTAAGATCCAAGTCCTAATAACACCAGTACAGTGAGTGAGTGATGTGCTGTCATGGACTTTACTTCACCGTAGGATTTGACCTTATTTCTCCAACCTATATCCTATTGGCCTCTACCCGCATTGCAGCAGGGTGGATTATTTTACCTTACACATACTGTACATGCATACATTCATTGCAAGAAAATATTTGTTAGTAATGCACTGAGGGTATGGACGAACTTCGTTCTTATTATCCTATGGAGCCCCTCCCTGTTTTCACTTCTCATCCATGAATGTGATTAAAAGTATTCAAACATCACTCTACAGATACAAAGGTGAAACATATAAGTTTTTTTTACAGCAAATTTAGTCTAATATCCAGACATCCTGTGTTTAGATTTTCAATTTAAAAATATTTTTCCAGTTCTGTACTGTAGTTATACTAGAAATTTAAATTGATAAAGGCATTTCTATGTACAATACTGTACACCAATACACATACTGCACAGTACTCCTAAGTTATGAATATTGAATTACTTTACACCTTAAGGGGAAGCCATAGTAAAGTATCTCAGAATCCTCTTCATATAATATACTGGCAATGTCCCGTATCACATGACCGAATCGAGATATCCATTACGTCACGTCAGATTCCCTTCCCATGCATCCAAACGCTGCTTGGCTGCCAACTTCTTGCGGGCTGAAAGAAAAGTAGTGAAGGCTGATATTAATGTGGAAAAGTGGAATTACTGTGGCTATGCCTATTGGTTACTGGGGGGTTAAATTTTTAATTGTGTACAAAGAAATGTATATTCCCTTCTGTGTTTGCCCTTAGGACAATTATTTCTTTTACCTGTATTGTATATGTGTTGTGTGTGTACACACAGATTGCATACAAATAAATAATAATGGGAAAATACTCTCACAAATAATTATCAAAAACAAGTTTATTAAAAATGTGAGTCTCCCCTCAAGTACGTGCTTCATTAATAAAGTAATCAAGCACCGAGTGGACTTGAGGGTAGACTGTCACTTTTTTAATTAATTTGTTTCTGACTATTTGTGAGAGGATTTTCCAATTATTATTTACAGTATTTGTATGTGTTTTGTGCGTGTGTGACACACACATATTTACAATACAGGTTAAGGAAATTACTGTGTCTAGAACGAATGGCTCCCTTTCCCAGCCGTGAAAATGCCGAAAACTTTAAAACTACCCACAGACATTCTTGGGTACATCCAGGGTGTCATCCCGAATAATGGGGGACCGCGAAATATAAATCCGCAAACTTTGGGGGGGCTGTACTGTACTATATGTACTGTATTTTCATCTCCCTACCTTGAACACTTATGATCTGAAAACATTGATTGAAGTTAAGATGTGCATGTAGCTTGAAATGACAAAGATATAAAGAAGGCCTAGAATGTATGACTATGCAAGCTGCTGCAGCAACAGACTTGCTGAGCTCTCAGCCAAAAGTAGAAAACTCTTACCATCCAGACCCTCTCTGAGGCCTAGCGTGGTGATAACTGAGTTGTTGTTAAATTAGTGTTAGCCATCAATGTTGAGAATTAGCTACTAACCCATACTCATGTCAATAAATCGCTTTCAGAAAGACCCAACAGCAAGAGGGATGCAGCGTAAAGTCAAAAGTAAAAATTCTAACACCAACCAAACACTGCAAAGAATGTAACAATTGAAATGAATGAGGAATTTATAAGCAAGGATTGTAGCAGTTCACCATCTACAGTAAGTAAAATTTTGTAATAAATCTAGCTGATAGGAGTAGTGATTTAAGCACTGATATGAGTAATTAGATGTCAGTGTATTTATGCAAGCAAAAGCGGCTACCCAGTTGGCTATTATAAATTATTACCTGAGGAATGGGATTTGAATGCCTAACCCAAATGAGTATGTTTAGAATGTTTCCCAGTATTAGATATATGATGATATTATATAACAACTCAGATGCATGTGCATTATTTTTAATGATTTGAAAATGAATGACTGGGCCCTTGAATCTTTGTTTACTCTCCCTCTCACTGTAGGCTTGTGTGAATAATTTTGTCATTGAATTATGATACATTCATATGTACAACCACAGAAGGGAGATCAACGAGTAAGCAGAAGGCTGGCAAGAAGTACCGTATAGACTGAGAAAGTAAGAAAGTTTAAAGGAAATAGGTAGAGAGAGAATGTGTGTGAGTGTACAAGGGGGCAAACCGCCATTCACCAGCCAGGTAATTCCAGCATGGGGATACAACTCAGACTGATCTCCAAAAAGATGGCTTACTGTCCCCAGAGCTCTCCATCCCACAGCCCACCAATCACATTCATCAGGGGGAAAAGAGCTTATCCGTTAAGATAATTTGAGTTTACTATCTATATACAGTACTATACTATAACTGATATTACCTTTGGCATCCTTGAGTTTCTGTTTCTCTGCTTCACGAACCTCTCGGGAGATATTCACTTTTAAACCAAGAGCTCCTGATACTAATCTACGAGCCAGGGATGCTGAGGTTGCAGGGCGTGGCTTGTATGGCAAAAGGGCCTCTGTGATCCGCGTAGCCTTAGCCTTAGATGTCTTGGTGGCTAAAGCTAATGAACGAGTCTTCAAAAATGGATGGTCAATGCTGAGAGCTTCAGCAGCTGGAAGAAAGTAATGCATTTCAGTAAAAATTACAGTACCTGTAGGAAAGGAAACAGCCTTGATACAGTATAATGAAAAGTTTCCTTCAGGTTAATAAAATATGGGATGGAACAATACTGTATATGTGAGGATTAAATAACTAAACATAATGTATGTGATGACCGATACCTTTACAAAGGAAAAGCAAATTAAAATACTAAATTGTGTGTGTGTAATGTATGTGACTTATATACAGTACTGTAATATCATAACAAATATAACGGAAGAGATACATTCTTGAGGCTGGTCAGCCAAGTGAAATATTGGTTAAAAGAGGTCAAAGTAATATGTTATTTATGGAGATGTGTTCTTGCTAATAGTGAAATTGGTTAAAAACATAAATAAATCCCTTATATACTGTACATTAGCCAGGGTTCATTTAGCTAAAATAGGTAACCAACTCTTTACTCTGTATCATTGGATAGGGCATTCATAGAGTTCAAAACTTATTCTTAAGGGGTTAATTTAAGATAGGGTGTTGTACAGTACAGTACAGTATGTCATTACTTGGTTGTGCGTCGAGGAAATATTTTGGTGCTATTTGTTTATATATATATATATACAGGGTATAAGATTATTTGTAGCGTGATTTAGTTGTGTGTGCTATTCTACACTGCCTTGGTGAGTGTAAAGACAATCATTTAACAAATTATTTCTTTCACTGCTGATACTTGGACAAAACTTCAAGCAGCAGTTACAGCAAGAGGAACCTGACAGCTACAAAAAACGATACTAGTACAAGCAATACTATGCCCTAGAGTGGCCGAAAGAGTACTGAGAAGTGATTTTCAGCAACCATTTACATCCACTAACAGTGTAGTTCACATAAAATGTAATGTATTTTCCGTTAGAAAAGTGCGCTAAAAGATCTTAGGTAAATGTGGCTACACCAGTCCCTAGAACAGCGTGAAGGCTGCTGCACTGGCTCATCATGACACTTATCATGTTTACCAGGATAGGAGACATTGGTTTTCATAAAAAAACAAGTTCATTAACACTCATGAGTGTAAGCAAGAATTTCTAAACAGAGCCTTACCATAAAAGTGGACCCAACACAATGCAAAAACAAAACATGTAGAGGCAAATGCTTTTCTGTCACTTGTACTGTACAGTATATCTAATTATCTGTTATACTGGTACTGTAGATAATGATCATCCAGAATTACTTGTCATTGCCTGACTGCCCACAGGTTAGCAATGAAAAGGGGAGCGAGTCAAAATCCACCCATATTACTGCAATATTTAGGGGATTTTTTTTTTTTTTTTAAACTTGATTCAAATACAATTATGGAAAAGGCACTGTGGTAATTTGAATCCACACTTACAAAAAGGATGTGCTTCTGAGGGCTGTTTACTGCAGTTCTCAGGTGAAGAAACAGCATAGTAGAAGTTTGTCTCTTCCTTAAACACACAGATGACTTTAGGGATGGCCAGGCAAGTCCACCAGATATCTCAATTAAGATTTTTGATACACTCTACAGTACTAGTTCAAGTTTAGTTGCTTTAGACTAATGAAAGATCTGTTTGCATATGCACCTAAGCAGATGATCCCCATTTTCTTTACTGTACATAGACCCAACTATGCTCTTTCGGTGGTGTTATATCTGAACTTCACTTTCTTGGATTTAATACATCCAAGAGTGAGAGATATCCTTGCCAAAGCTTGTCTGTCTATAGAACTGATAAGCACGTCTCCAAAAGCCCCATAGGTCTTACATCAGTACAAACAGTAAATAGAGATGCTGCATCAAGGCACACAGGTATTGCAGCCTTCACTGAGTGTATACAGACTCATAAAAGATGGGCCATTACATGCTCCAGACGAGGAGTAATAGTAGGATTACTGTTAGATATGGTTGCTCTCATTAACTCGAGTGAAGTTCTCAAGAGCTGGAAGCCTTATAGGATCAAATGTGACAATCAGAATCTTACATCCACCCTCAACCCATTCACTAAGGATAAAGAAGACACATAATTATATCACATAACACCAGAATGTGCTTCCACATGATCTTTTTAATGCAGTTCAAAAGGGGTGGCTTGGGCAGATGAATTAGAAACAAATTCAAGAAGGGTATATACCATCTTTGACAATCCAATCCCAAAAGGAAAAGTGAAGAACCTCACCTGTGATGCCATTACCATGAAAGTTTGCTGTAAGGATCTCAAAATGAAGGAAGTATTGTGTATACATAATCTATTTGGGTGACTGCTGTATGTTGCAGCTCAACAAAATGTGGATTTGCAGGTGTTGTCCCTTTGACAGTAGTAGTACTGTTCTCAATAGCACACACTGACAGGAAATTAAACAAAAACAGATAAATCTTCACTGATGCGAAAGTTAGGTGCAGCCTTCGGATGATAGCCACTGACATGCACAGTAACTTATAAACTTTATGTTCCTGTACTTCTTACGTACTGTACCAAACTTACAAGAAACATTTGGGGGCATGCCAAAATAATTCTATTCAAAAGTGCCATTAATCAAGGATTTTGAATGAGCTGATCGAGAGGATGATCTATCTGCTTATCCCATACCTAGCCATCTGACTTCAAGCAAGCTCTGTTGCCAAGATCAATCAAAACATCTCTACTGAAATTCCTTGCAGAAGAATGGGCCTAAAAAAAGATACAAGGTAATACTGAAAGAGAAAATGTTTTGTTTTTTTTTGCCTCTGCACATGTACTGTATGCAATAAATATGTAAACAAAGATAAGGTTACCAAACATTGTGTTCGAAAAGCTAATGCATTACCAGGAGGAAGCAAACATGTGAACAAGTTCCCTGTCTATTTTGTCAGAGAAGAACATCTCTCCTTATATAGTTGTCAGGTCTAGTGACATTGATGTGTTTGTGCTCCTGCTTCATTTTGCCACACATTTGGGTGATCATATCTGGATGGATACAGGAACCTGCTCATTGAATACAAGGATTATTGACATAACAGGTCTGGCAAGTGTCTTGGGATCAAATGTTTGCTCTACCTTGCTTGCTTTCCATGTTTTTATTGTCAGCAACTACACTGCAGGATTTACGAGGAAACGAAAGTTAAGACCTTATGGCCTCATGGTCAAGAATCAACACTTCCTGACTGCATTCAGCAAGCTCAGCAGTTCTGACAGTGGATCCTGTAGTTTACTTAGTTATAAAATAATCTGTCTGTTCAATGTATGGTCAGCCCACAAGCTCTAACGTCAATACAGTACTGCAGCTTTGCTATATTTACCACAGGGAAAAATCAAGTCATCTGATCTTTGTCGCATTCCACCATGTGAGGCAAGTAAAATGTTGCAATTATGTTACACTACTATATAAGAATGTTACATTGGCCTTGATTTTGGTCCTGATGATCATGGATGATCAAAATGTATGTCAGTGCAGTTGAGAATAATGTAATTTGACAGCCCCCCAGTCAATTCAAGATGCTACCTGATGATGAAGACCAGATCTATGCTTCATCATCTGATGATGTTGGTGTCTTGCTAAAAAATTAACACTAATATGAGTGTTAAACTATTTAAAACATAGTGCTCTCAGAAATTTGAAAAAAAGCAGCTATTTTATTTTATTTTTTTCAAGTTTTAACATTCAAAATTTTTAGTAAAAAATACTTTTACCACATGGTTTTTGTATTATTCTATTACACAAATGATTTTCTACAGTGTACTGTATGTACATGTACTAATTTTCATGAAGATATGAGCATAAACAAATAGCAAAAAAATACAGTAATATCTCCGTTCCCTCAAACCCGGAATTGGAATTTTCTCGGAAAATAGTTCCCAAAGCTGGAATAAACGATTTTCCGGAAAATTCTGAGAAATTTTTCCCAATACTACCTGGAAAATTCCCAGGATGGAGGAGTTTTTTCCAGGTTTGAGAGATAAAAATCAGGCGCATTTTCTGGAAATTCTGAGAAAATTTCCAGTACCGGAAAATTCCTGGGATGAGGGATATTTTTCTGGGTTTGAAAGTTGATGTAATGGGCAATTTCTGGAACTTCCGAGAAAAAATTTCCGTTACCTGTAAAATTCCGGGAATGAGGGATTTTTTCCGACTTTGAGAGAGTCGTCTCTTGGAAGTGCTCTGCACCAATTGTCCCAGCTAATGGAGATATCACTGTATTCGTTTGACACAGAACCATTCTTAAGTAATGATATACAACCCTATATTTAATTGACCCATAGATAACATTCCACCTCTGGCAGCACTAAGAATCACAGTTTTGAACTTCCCTATGAATGTCCTTGCCAATGATACTGAGCAAAGACTTGGTCGCCTATTTTAGCTAAATAATCCTGGCAATATGAATCTATACAAATTGAGAAGAATAAATGGGAATAAGACCACTTCTAAACTCGGCAGTAGTTCAAGAGAAACTGTTAAAAAATATCTAAAATCTACCATATGAAGTAATTACTGTACTGTACAGTAGAAGTATAAATAATATCAGAGACTTATATAGTGGTACTCACCAATGAGTCCTGTGGCAAATATTCCTAGTGCATGGGTATCATCTACCCATTTAATATCAAACCCGGTGTTTTGAAATGAGTTGAAAACCATCATTAAATCTTGAGTCTTGAAAGATACAGGAAAGTCATAGATTTCTATAACGTGAGCATACTCTTCCTCGTTTATTTGTGGCTCTTTTGGTTGATATGTATAGTAATCATTGGCTGGTTTCTCTAGCTTGACATCTCCAATGGAATCAGAAAGCTGACGTTTGATATCAGGAGCAAGACATTCACCAGTGTCATCATAAAGGTTGTCCCAAGAATCTTCAACCTCATCAGCCCAGTTAAAGGAAAACTTTTTCAAGTTCTTCTTCTCTTCTTTTTCTTCAGTGACCTGTTCTTTGATTTGTATTTTGCCTTCTTTCACATCATTATCTGATGATGTCATTTCCTCCGCTGATTCCTCTCTTGATTCTGTGACAGTTACCTCAGTCCCAGCCTCATAGAAAACTTCTTCTTCTGAAATCATTCCACTTGGGACATCTGAGGCCTCATATTGGTTATCACTTTGTTGATTGTTCAAGACACTGCAATTCTGTTTGCATTTTGTATCTTTTTCTATGCAATTTGACGATTCAACAGACTGATCGGAGCAGACAGAATTATTAAAAGAGCTATCAATCAAACTTCCTTTAGGATCACTTTCAATATTTAGTGAAGTTTCTTCTAATCTGGTTGTTACATCATTCAGAGGTGGACTCTCAATGTCACAGGGGGATAAATTGTCACTATTCCTATGGTTATCCTTTCCACAGTTGTCAAGAGTATCTTGACTCCTATTATAGGACACTTCCTGATCCATCTCATCACAGATATTTTGATTCATTCCATTTAATGTAATCTGATCTACTCTGTCAGATATACTACAACTACTTCTATTTTCTTCAGTTTTTGAATTTTCAACAGAGTATGAACGAGAACCCCCACTTGGACTTTTGTGGTGTTTAACAGGTAATGTATGCCACCTCACATTTTCCTCACTAGCTTGGAGTGCTGCTCTCCTTGTACCATCTCCAAATTCAAATGCAACATTAGGTAGAGACCCAAGTCTTCCAGAGGGAGGTTTACCTGGTGAATTTCTAGTCCCAGTATGATAATATACATTTCCTTTGGCAGGACTTGCTGGATTTGAGCCTCCTCTCCAGCTGTGACTGGGGCTCTGTTGAGGTGTTCGTTCTCGGCTAGAATTACGGCTACTAGTACGACTATTATTAATACTACAGTAGCGATCGTAGTTGTCATAACCCCGATCATAACGTTCATGACTTGTGTTGTAGTTGCTATTGTAAAAGACTCTCTCACAACTACCAAAGCCTCTATCTCCCAGACCATTATTGTACTGATCCCTGTTGTTTGAGGTATGGCAAACAGAGCCTTTTGTGCCCATATTTTTACCTGCATCATTATTTTGGTCAGCACTAGGTTCTCTACTACGGGAATGTCTCCTACGATTTCTTCTGCTCCTTCTTGACCGCTGACTAGACTCCACTGGATGAATAACATTCTCCTTACTGTGCACACTGTGAATATCTCGAGTTGGAGTGGGGCTCTTCTGAACCCCTCCACCACTAACACCAACTGATTTGTTGTTTTTGGGGGATGGAGAACTATTAATGGAATCATTTTCCCAATGAGAATGTTCACTATGTCTTGTTTCCGAGTCCTGATTTAGACAGCGCTCAATTAACTGAAGGGTTTGAGAATTAAATCTTCCTCCTCCTCCACCTTTGTTTCTGCCATACCCAGGAGTTGACTCTCTACTGAAGTCTCCCTTTGATATAGGAGGTTTTCCTTTTACTTTATCTGTTTCACCCTCATACACTGATAACTGACTACCTTGATGGCTTCCCTGTTTGTTATTATATCTGTTTCTTCCACTGAATTCTGAGGCCACAGAACATACAGAGTATGTTGGAGATGGAGGTCTAGGAATATGTTCATAATCATGCATGGGCGTGGGTGTACCCCGTGCTGAGCTGCAGTCAGGAAGGACATTGCGTCTCCCTCGAGGTACATACAATACTTGGTCAGGTCGTCGACCTCTTCCTTTGTTTTGATAATCCCCACTTGTAGTCATATTACTGCTCTCACTATCTGTTCTTTGTCTACTGGAGGGTACTTGGTATGGGTGATGATTTGGTTGTTGCTGATAATGGTTCTCTTGTGGGTACTGATCTTGATGGGAATCTTGTTGATAAGAATTATAGTGTTGCTGATAAAATTGTTGCTGTTTCTGTTGATTAGACTCTTGGTGTTGATAATGAGGACACTGTTGAGGCTGCTGAGGTTGACAGGAATTGGTGTCTTCTTTTGTGCTGCGTGCTGGTGGAGGTCTGTAGATCTGGGCAGATGCTTTACCTGTAATAAATAATCAACGTTATTTCTTATAAACTACAAGCAGTTTATATCATTTCTATCTAGATACAAATCTATTCTCCTGTTCTAAATATACAAGTTCTTATGCAGTTCAGTGCAGAATTCTGCAGAGAACCAGTTTTGGGTGGGGTTTTAATACAAATAAATTAAAATGTAAACAATTGAATAGCTTTGATCGTGTATTGGTACAAATAGGTTAATTAAACTTATCTGGGTTGTAGAAATTATTTGATTAAATTTCCCAGTTAAAAAATCACACATTCAACAAATAAAATGAATGGCTGCCACTCATGATTACTGTGCAAAGTTATGAGTCTCCTGGCCCTGATTTGTTCCCCCCCCCTCCTTTAACTCTTTCATGAGGACTACCAGAATTACCCAACAGGAGCAAATTGGGCCTGCAGTAGCATCAACAGAGTTTTCTGACAATGGGCTCTTTAAATATCCCCAGTACTCCCATGGGTTCAGCTGATCAAACTTATCACTCCTACACTGTTGCCACTCAAACCTAGTATTGCTACCATATTTCTTTCTGTCTTTAGAAGCTAATAGGATGCTGGATCCTCTGCGGCTATCTGCACACCATTTCCCACCAGTCACATCAAAAACAAACCAGACATAATGCAGAGAAACCCAGCCAGGAGTTATAATTATGACCCTCCATAAAAGCCAATAATGGGTTAGCAACATTTATTTAGTGATGATTGATTTCTAGGATGGCTGTTGAGGTTATAAATACAGTAACAAATCTGTCACCTACTGCATTTTTTTTCTTCTTTTTTTTTTACTGAAAAAAAACCTATGGGATAGAGCAGGGAGGAAAGAACTCACAAAAAGGTTAACATGAAGCACAGATCACTGGGGAGAGGGTAATTACCCTGCCTAGGAAATTATGCCTTAACCTGTACTGTATGTACACCCTAATCCTACTCCATTCATCCTCCCTTTCCCTTTTTGTCTTCATCTTTTATAACCATCAAAACAAAATCCAGTATACAGTACTGTATATTATATTGTACATTAGTAGTGTTCCTCCTGTACACATTAAGTCCATCTGTTGCTGTTGGACATTTACACAAGTGGCAGCCATGTCTCGGGTCAATGTGAAAGATGAAAAAAATTATAAATCAAGATTGAAAACAATGAAGTTCATCCATCATACCTCGACGACGATTATTGTCAGTGTAGTGCTCTGGAGGCATGGTTACTGGCATCCTCTCTGGGTTGCCCCTGCCTGAAGGGCTGTTTGATGACCACGACTGATTATGTCTGCTGTTTTCTTTCCTTGATGATACAGGAGACAATCTGAAGGAAAGATACAGTATATAACTTAATAGTATGCAAGTGGGGATGGTTCAACAATTCCACTCTTTTTGAATATTATATATGAGGCATCAAAAAATCTGTTTTGATCACATAAATTAGAGTAAAAAATTAAAATTAATTAAATTCAATACATTCTTCGCCTCTCAGAGGGCTACGACAGTAAAATGGTCTTTAGATGGCTTCTTACACAATAAAGTTATACCATTTTATCAATGTACTTCATCATTTTTTCCTTGCATTTAATTCTACAGGTGTTGACCCCTTAATCCTCTTTCCTCTCCCTACATTATCATAGATGATCTAGCTAGTTCAGTTTACTGTCATCTTAACTTTCAGTACTGTATAGTATTGTATACTGGTCAATACACATATAAATTCGACATAATTATCCTTCATCAGTTAATGAATAATGACCCTTTTTATCATCGCCTTCATATTAAAATAATGTCTAATATATCTTACAAGTCCTTTATCTTCATACTGTATAATGAAACCCATTTCTACCTCTACAAGCTCTAAGGAATCCACAGTAGGTTTTCCACTGCCATGAAGACGAAGTAGGTCATAACTCCTGTAAAAGGTAAGACATGTACTGTACTGTACTGATATTCTGGGCCATTCTGTTCTTATGATACAGTCCTGTACAGGTGTGAACCCAAGTCACCAATTCCTTCACAAGCATATTTTGAGTACCAATTTTCAGGAAAAGTTTGTGTAACTACAAAATGTACCTACAACCACAACCACCACCATCCACAACTATACCTGCTGGCTGCTACCACTACCATCAACAATTATGCCTACTACCACAATCACCACCATCCACAACTATACCTACTACCACAGCCATCCACAACAATTCCTGCTATCACCAACATCAGTCACAACCATGCCAATGATGAGCAGCAGAAGAGGGTGAGAGTGTGTGTGTGTGTGTGTATAAGGGGAGAGAGGGGCGGCGTGGTGGCACACGTGAGAGTGAGGTAAGAGGTGAATCAGGGGTGTCCATTTTTAGCAAGAGTTGTGTGGCAGGTTGGACCAACAGGCAGCCCTGACCCACCAGGTCCACGGTGCTCTCCACATCTGACTGATTGACTGACTGACTCATCGGTTGACCCTGCCCTGCCCCTTGTGTTTTCCCGCTCACTGAATGAGTGATCACTTAAGCCAGCCTGGTCTGTGCATTCCTCCTACACTTTGTACAGTTACCCATAAAAGGCCTGTCAGCTCTCCTGCTGCTCCACAAACCCCAAGATTCAAATTCATGAACCCGAAGCAGTAGACACATGCATTTATTCTCTCCATAAATGCTTCGGATTCCCGAGTCTGAATCAGGGAGTTCATGGTTCCGGAAGAGGGGTGACAGGACTTTTGTGGGTGACTGTACCCATGGTCGAAGGTACAGTATATTTTGACCATGACTAGGACACATTTTGCCCAAATCATGTGATCGACAATAAGCACGAAGCTTTCTTCGGCTGCTGCCCACCACTGAGATACTGCTGGGGTGTTATAGAGGTCTCGCCACACTATTTTTCTTTTCCAACCAAGAAAATGCCCTGTTTCTATTGCTTCTGTTTCTGCTGGTGCTGTAAAAATTTATATATATATATATATATATATATATATATATATATATATATATATATATATATATATATATATATATATATATATATATATATATATATATATATATATATATATATTAAACAATAAATAACAGGGGGTTAGTAGAAGCCAATATCTACCCAGAATTCAGGAAAAATTATCCCAATTTTCTGTTTAGGGTCCTTATTATTTTCTCTGAGGCGAATGATCTCGTAAAGGTATGACATTAAGTACTGTATAGTGCACAGTATTACTGTTAAATAGGAGATGGAAATTTAACTTTTAGCTCATTGTTGTAGTCCAGATGAACCACTTACACTGAAATTAACAATGTCTTCTATAAATGACAAGGTGTGAAAAAATTAATATAAATGAAGATGTGTATTTTAAACTGATTAAAGAAATTGCTACAGTGTATTTAAACCTTTAAATTGTTCACTGGTCAATGAAAACACAGAAACATAGAAAGGTTTCACCAGCCACTGAATCTTTATTATTAAGTTACAGCAACCATAAAAATGCCTTCATGTGTGGCAAGGACCATAACAGTGGGAGGGAGTACAGGTAGCTGGGAGTGCTCTGTTATGGTGATGGGAAGGACCTTTCACTGTTGTCCTCCCTCACTACATCACTTCAGCAGATCGCTTAATATCCCTCATAAGACCCTTTCTCTCCTGAACAAAAAAAGTAGTCTTGTGTTCTAGGTTTTATCCTTCGCTGTAAGGTCTGGGTGATATTAACTTTCCACTTACAATATATAGTTCCTGCAGATGCAAAAATTGGGTGACTTGCAGTGTGTTTACGTGTGTGTTACAGCACTAGCAAGAAACAAGTACTATACACATGTATAAATAAATAATCGAGTCTTCCACCTCACACTGGAAGACTGCTGAAGTGGTGTAGTGAGGGAGGACAACAGTGTAAGGTCCTTCCCATCACCATAACAGAGCTACCTGTACTCCCTCCCACTGTTATGGTCCTTGCCACACATGAGGGCATTTCTATGGCTGCTGTAACTTAATAATAAAGATTCAGTGAGTTTGTTTCCCCGCCGATATTATACCATCCCAAACATCGTTGTTCAGGTAACCAATTATTTAACTCCTAAATAATGATGATTTATATGCACCACGAAGTCGCACTTGTACTCGCACTTCTTCACACAATTCTTTGTACTGGTTTATGTATTACACCTAATATAATGTATACTCTTATCCCTTATTATCACATATAAACAGTAAATTATTATTATCGTATCAGAGGACAGTATTCATCAAGCTAGTGCCACACATCCTACTGGCCATCAACCACTCTTTCTGGTTCTAGGCGACGATCAAGAGGGGAACATCGCCTGACAGAAACGTGTGATGCAACGCCGTGCAACACACACCTTCACAGTCCTCTCTACCTCTGACATGCTTACCTCCCACAACACCCAGGCCACTTCCGCTACATCAATACAGTACAGTATTCATGTTGTTACTGACTTCCTCCACGAAACCCGGTGTGTGTGTAGAAGACTACTAACGACATAAATGATTACAATATTTCTCGGATTAAACAGTTAATTGAACTTTTGACCTAAAAAATGCTAAATTAGGACCCTCTTTAAAGCTAGAAGTGAGAGTTAGGAAAACATGCAGGGAAGGAGGAAGGCGTTATCATGGGTGACACAGTACAGTGACCAGGAAGTACCAGTGTCCATGTTACGTCACCAAGACAGCCAGCCAGCGCTCTGCATGACTTACATACCTGAGGTTACTACCGCCTATGCTGAAACACTCCAGACAGGCCCCTCACCCATCCAACACCACTCACTCATCACACCTACTCTACCACCACTACGAGTACTATATAACCACCACCCAGTACATCACTATCACAACCATTACCACCACCACCCAGACGTCACCACCAGTATTGGGAAGCGTCACACAGCTCCACCGGGAATACGTCGCTCCTCCCTCCCTGAAGCAACAAATACTCGTATATGTGTTGTCCTCCACCAACTACGGGGAGACTGTGTGTGTGTGTGTGTGTGTGTGTGTGTTAAAGTACTCACCCAACCCCTCTAAGTTACCACACTGCTATCACTACCACCACCATTACCTGAAATGGAAGAAAAACAAAATTATTATACAATTCCACCAAAAAGAGAGGTTACTGTCCACAGCCACACACACACACACGTTTGTTGTGTGTGACAGTATGACGATGTAAATGTAACTTAAACCCAATTCATAAGAAGCGTTATTTAATATTATTGTAGTTATAGTTTAGGTATTATTACTATTAGTTTTTATTTTCATTATTTTCACCACTACACGCATACTCTTTCTCCTCCTTTTTTCCACTAATATACTGTATAGGGATTGCTGCATAAGAATCTCCGTCTGGCCGTATAGTGTGTTGATGAGATGAAGCACAAGACGACCACGAAAAAAATGGTGATAGCGGCGGCATTAACATTATTTACACAAGTTTTGAAGGATCTTCACTGTTTCTGTTTGTGTGTGTGTGTGTGTGCGCGTGCGTGCGGAATTATAATATATCAAGTAGAATTTGTTTTTTTTTAATCTATTTAGCAACAGAAGCGGTGGTGGAGTGATTATCGTGCTAGGTTCGAATCTTCATTGAAGACCAAAAGCGTGACTGATACCTGGCGTGAGTGTGTTAGTAATACCCAATTGGTTACTAATACAGTGATGACAGAGGAAGCGGATATATACTTGTGTGTGTAATTATGTGACGCGGGGCCCATACAGTACGAGTGACGCCCTGAGCCGATTCCTAAGTTCTCGTGTGTGTGTGTGTGTGTGTGTGTGTGTGTGTGTGTGTGTCCTAATAGTGCACAATGTTCCAGAGTGATAATTTGTCTATGATAACCTTGCTTTAGTTTGTTTACGTGTGCAGTGACACAGTTCAGCATCTGCAAACCAGCCAAGGTGACCCAGTTTCTAATTTTAAAGGCTGTGCTTCTGTGCATAAAACACATCACTATGCCTGTGAAAAAATCGGCACAATTACATAACTAAAACGTGGTTACAGATAATATATTAATATATATATATATATATATATATATATATATGCACAAAGAAAGGTAAGTTATCCTAAGAAGTGTGAAAATCTGGTAGAATATGATTTGGTGAGAAGGGGGGCAAGACGCACCCAGTCCCCACAGTTCATTGTTAAGTAGGTAGTAGCACGTCAAGGACTTGTTGATTAAATTCTTTACTGAAGATGTGAAGAGGTTTGTGGAGTGGCCTATTTCTGACGCACACTACTACAACTACTATCACTGCTTCTTCTCCTGCACAGTCAAAAGGGTGTATTTGTTGCCTACATCAAATTATAAGTTAATGTGC